AATATTTGAAAAAGCAGTAAATTTAATTAAAAGCATGCTATGTAGAAGTAGGTCAGTTGCTATTTAGTGCTATATAGAAATTATACGTAATATAGTTCAAAGTACTAGTTACATAGTGATATATAGCTTATAGGTGCAGTCAATATAGCACTCATAGATTTGGTATGTATCTGTATAGTGGTGATAGCAGGGCTCCCAACTTACACCTACCATGATTGAAGTCAGTGTCAGGTCCTGAACTGTAATGTTAGCTTATACATTATCAGATATATGCATGAATAAAATATGTACAAGGTGGCTAAGTATCAAGGAGCTTCTGCTATGTGAATGGACATAGTGGCCAACGCGGACTTAGAGATTCAACGTGAAATCATGTGTCACGTGACAGCCTCCGGTTTGTCATCTTAGCCCACCGTGCTGGCAAGTACACTCAACATTGCGCTGGCAAGAGCGTTGTGATGTGAATAAGATCAAGAGTGATCAAAGTGTGTTCACATGGTTAGTATCTCAAGTGGCACAATCAGAGAGTTCAAGTCTTGTAACTAAGCAACTTGAGAAGTTACAAAAGTTGCCCCTCCTCTGTTGGGACCTTGGTGTACTTATATTCTACCGTAAGTCCCTAATAATATAGAAGTGGAGCATGCTGATGAATCAAACATCTGAAAAAATCTAGATCACTATATGGCACTACATAGTCCTATGTAGCCTCCATAGGTCCATAGCAATGTCCTTTTGCTACCCATGCTAAATATCTGCAAGCCAATGCTATCATAGTGCTACAGGTGCTATAGTAGGTACTGTTATGGCTACAGTAGCTATGTAGGTCACACCTCAGTGCTACATAGCTCACACATCAGTGCTATTGAAACTATATATCCCATGTAAACTCTACAGCCACCATATGCTCAATGGATATTGTAGTCATCTAAGTAAAAGTGCTTTTTATTTACTTATTATTTAACACATGTAATCATTCAAAGAATTATTGATTTCATCATATCATATACAACTTACAAAAGTGTAACCAATGCTACTCGTCAACGTATCAATTACATAAGCACTACAGACATGCAACAGATGAGGTCAGACAGACAAGGGGGCCATGGTAAATGCACGGTGCATGCATTGCGTTGACCGGACCGGGCACATTGCATCGGCCAGGAAGAAGGCAGGGCAAGAGGCGGGGAGGCACTGGACAAAGGCTGGTGTTTGGTGGGGAGGCAAAGCCAAGCATGACCGCATTCACAGCTGGGGCTCATGCTTGGGGGAAGGAGGGCAAAAGAGGAAGCCGAGCCTGATCACGTTGGTGGCTCGGGCTCTGTGACGGGCGGAGGTAGGCCAGGCATTAGGTGGAGGTGGGCCAGAGGCAGGAGGGTGGCAGGGAAGCGACACCAAACACAGCCACGTTGGCAGCCTGCACTTGGTGTTGGACGAAGGGGGGAGTGAAGGGGGCCACGAGGGTGAGAGGCGACACCGAATGTGATCGCACTGGTGGCTCACGTTCGGCATTTGATGGAGGGCACGAGGGTGAGAGGCAACACCAAACACAACCATATTGGCAGCTCGTGTTGGGCAAAGGAAGCCGCAAGGGTGAGAGGTGACGCCCAATGTGAGCACATTGGTGGCTCGTGTTTGGCGTTGGGCAATGGGGGCTGCGAGGGTGAGAGGCGATGCCAAATGCAACCACGTTGGCGGCTTGCATTTGGTGTTGGGCAATTGAGGGTGCAAGGGAGGTAGGCAATGCCAAGCCTGACCACATTGGCGGCTCATGCTTGGTGGGGTGTGCACTTGTCGGCACAGAGAGGGCAACGGCACACTTGCCAGTGCCGCGTCCAGTGCCTTTGCAAGCATGTGAGCCAGTGCACTGGCAAGCCCGGCAGATAGTGCACTTGCCAGCACGGTGGGCAGCACACTTTCCAGCACGGTGAGCAGTGCACTTGCCAGCGCGATGGGCAGTGCTTTTGCCGGCACGGTGGGCGGTGCACCTGCAAGTGCGGTGGACAAAGACAGTGAGCTGGACTCGGAGACTTGAGTTAACCAAATATGTCATGATTTGATCATGTGACCTGTGTCAGGTGCCACGTTGATTTGTCTTGAATGTATAAGTCCAAGTGCCTCCCTCAGATAGCACAAACTTATTCACCTTGTAGATAGTTAGAAGTATATATCATCTAACAGTATATAGAGATATTGACATTGCAGTTCAAGACCTGAGTAATGAAGGTATATGAGAGACAGGACGGAGTGCGAACGGAACAAGCGGCTGGTCTAGTAGATAGATAAGTCTCACTGCTCGGGTATGGGAACAAGTCCATATTCATGTACCTAGTAGATAGATAACTACGGTACATTAGCTTTCGGTACAGGGTATATACAAAAGAGGGACTCACGTCTCACTGCTCGGGTATGGGAGCAAGTGAGACGTGCACTCGCGAAAGTGAGACGATTATCTGAGGCAGAAGTATAAGTTTTCGTGTCCTAATAAGTCCATACCATGCGAAGGCACACGCGCCGTGCGCGCAATGGCCGACACGACGTCCGTTTGCATGCTCATCAACCGTTTATCTCCAGCACTGAGACTGGTTTATATCATGGTATTGTGAAATGGCAGACCTGCTATCACCACTATACAGATACATCCCATATTTATGGGTGCTATATTGACTGCACCTATGAGCTATGTATCATTACATAGCTATAGCACTGCACTATGTTGTCTTTAAATACTATATAGGGCTATGTAGCAACTGACCAACATCTACATAGCACTCATAGCACTCTATAGCAACTAACCTACATCTATATAGCACCCATAGCACTACAATAGTGACTATAGTTCTGAGGGGCAGCTATATGGATCAAGATTTTCTCAGATGAAGGGGACACGTAAGCATCCAGCAAACAAAAAAGGAAAGTAGCGAGGGTGTCGACAGTGTCAACGACCAAACCGCTACACAGGCCCTCCTGAAGTGGAAACTGCTTCACCAAAACAGGTAATGTCCCACCCTCCTTCACTTGTGGCGGCGCTCACACCATATCATCTCTCTTCACCTTAGCCCGCACACTCCCCATCAACACATAGTTGATAACATCCAGATCCGAAAACGAATAGTCTCGGCACCCATGAAGTTCAACACCTGCTGCGGGAGAATTGCAAGAGTCTGGGTTATTTCTTGGCAGGTGGTGGTGGTTGGATGGCTCATGGTGTGGACAACAACAGCTACAGATGGCCTTGCAAATAGCGTTGGGGAACAGGATTGATTGAGTCCTTGAATGTTGGCATGGGTTTCATTCTTGGCACTGATATCATGGTCGAGTAGGGATAGCGAGGCGGCCAATGGATTGATGACCCCATGAATGGCGGTCCAAAGTTCATTGTACCCCAAAGGGATGGTTTCTTCAAGGATGGCAGAACTGTCGCAAACACTGTCGTCATAGCGAGGAAGTTGGTCAACAAAGCACCAGTGCCAGACCGTGAAAGGGCTGCCAGCTGAAGGTGGGGGGATCTGATCAATCCAGAACTCCAACAGGTGGCATTCGTCCAATGCAATATTGTACCAAATTCCGCCAATGAAGACCTGAGGATTGTCAACACGGCCGTGAGAGTGCAACTCGAGATTGTACCTGTGAGCTCGCTGGCGGGAAAGCCTGATTGTGGGAGACACCTACAGACAAGCTGTTATCTAAGTCTGCCTTGACTTGATGTCTAATTTTCAGATCCTCTAGATCTTCCACGATGAGGGTTCCTGGCGACAAGGGAAAATATCATGAACACAACCCTGACGATTCCAGCGAGGATGAGGACGATGAAGGGCACATCGAGGATGAGGATGACAAACTCTGGTCCCAATGCAAGCCGCTGCCCAATTGGGTGTTGATAAATCTGACTGCACTTGTCCTCGCGGGCAAAGTGGTGGTATCCTCTTCACCTCCAAAACAGCCCAGAGATGACTCTTCTGCGATGTCCCCTCGAGCATCCAGATCCGAGTGTGCAGTCTCTTGTACTTGAGAGGGGGACGTGACAGACCTGCCTCTGCCATACAATCTCATTTCGCTGGGAACACCCTTAGTAAACCACCTGTCCATGCCCAGGCCTGCCGAAGTTCCTCAAGCGATCACGACTACCAATCTGCTGCCAGCATGGGCAGCCACTTCTAAGGTACAGGGAAGTACTTGGCGATGAGGAACACCCGGTGGCCCCCCCGGTTGTCCGTCAGACCCTGGCCCTTCACCTAGCTTCAACGCATCCTGTGGCAAGCGAGGAAGGGGATATGTTGTCGCTTGGAGTGATCCCAGTTCTGCTGCGCCCACCCGTGCATTTCTCAAAGATTGGTGCACCGATGAGTCTGGCTTGCTCGATCAATTCCTTACCAATATCATATCAGGTCATCTGCTGGGGTGCTGCACTTGTCCACCCCCGGCAGCACTGTCCGCCGGGTCCATCGTGGGTGTCACTGTCATTATGCCTACTATGTCATTTACCACAGTCCCGATGTCAGTGTCGTCAACTCTTGGTGCGCAGTCCCCTCCTCCAGCTTTCCAGCCTGACCCATCTTGGTAGGGAGGCATGTTATCATATGGTGGAGAATATGAGTCGCGCTCGCTATAAAGGTTTCGATAGCCTCCGTGAAGCACAAGAGGACTGGACCAGGGCATTTGGTAGCTTCATTGAGGGTGTGATGGCCAACTGTTCCCGGAGGTCGAGTTGGTGTGAAGCGAGATTGTTCTTCTATGGTCAATGCAATGAGCCTTCCTGTGGTCATTAGTATACATTAAAACATGATAGCTATATTATCACCTCATTGCGATGCAGCAGAGTGACAACTTGTTAATCCTCCGCATCATGGTGCAAGGCTCACAGCAAGGTCACTAATTAGCGGTGGTACAAGGTCGTTGCGGAAGCACCACTGAATCAGACCTGCCTCATGATTCAGAGCTGACAGGGATTACGACTCGTTCAATATGGGGCAGACCAGTTGGCCTCAATGGAATGTATCTGCAAATGGAATACATCTTGGCCTGCTACGGCTGCAGGAGAACCTTGACTATCTGCAGATACATTCTGATACACCCAGACAACGCACACCCTCAGAACCTCAGCTCAATCCGACAAAAAAGAGGCAAAGGGCATGGATAAAATACAAAGTATATATACATGGACACACACAACTTTTATGTTTGACCAGAACCAAGTGAAGAATCGGGAGGAGATACAGGATGCCCGCTGCAAATCCACGTCACATCATCGCGGAAGCTATCAACTAGTCTCGCCTGAGCCTCCACATTAGAGATACTGTCAGGGCACGGCTCCCACACTTGCCTCATGTCTCATTGTTCTCCTTTCTGCTTCCGCTTCTATCCCATTTTGTTCATTTCCCCTAATACTTCTGTCTCCCTATTCGGTCACGCTCTCCCGCGCCCTCCTAGGCTTCCCGCGCCCTCCTTTTGGCATCTCCCCTATTTTGTTCCATCGCTCGGCGCTCCTAGGGCCTCCGCACCCCGCGCGGCCTTCCTAGGCCACTCCACTGGTCACGTGTCGGGCACCCGAGGACCCTCCCCTGCTCTCATTGGACCATCTTTTGTTGCGCTGATGGATTACTCATCTACTATATAGTCGCCTGTTGCACCAGGGAGCAACCCAGACTTGTTCTCTCAGTTGCCTCCCTGCCTTGTGCGACAGGTATGTGTACTTCTCCTCATATCTTCGTATATATACTCAGTTGCCTCCCTGCCTTGTGCGACAGCGTCTCCACCGCCGTCCCGGGGGATCCGCGCCGCTCCTAGGAGCTCCAGCGCGTACTCTGACAGATACTATGTCCTCCCGGTTGGTGGAGACATCTATTGAACTCCGGACTGTCCTCAGCCTGTTGAGTGTACCCTCTCTTGTTGGCTACAGCAAGAAGTGCATCCTTCAAAGTGCTTATGAGCCACCAACAGGCAAAATTTTCCAGTATGCAGAGCTCGCGACCGACAGGGCCTAGTTCACCGAGTGAGATGTGGTCCAAGTTCTGCCTGTCATTGCGGTACACAACGAGTGGCACGTAGTGCCATATGGGTTCAGGCGACGCATATTGACCCTCTGAGCTGGGCTCTACAGATGGAAGGGAACGGCCATGGATGCTTATGTGGAACAGAACATCTGCCAGGATAGTCAAACACTGCCCTAAAAGGGTGCATGGGATGAACCGAAACCAAATCGCCGATCCGTCCACTTCAATTCCTACTGCACCACCGCATGGCACCTCCTAACAGCCTGCCAAACCGGGTCTTTCGGAGATATGAGCGTACGGGCGGTCGCCTTCACGAACCCGAGCATGTCGACAAAGCGGATGAGCATGGGTCCATGTTCATGCTCCTTGCCTGGAGCATAGTAGCAAATTTCTAACAATAGACTGCCGCAGATGTTATTGTCAGACGAGAAAAGGATAATGTGGCATGGCGACTTTACATTTGATTGGCGACATTGCCTCTGCCCTTTTGCAGTTTGCATATGACTTTACTCCGATGGTCGTCGATTACTTTGACTGGATCTGCTTTGCGCAGACTCTGTCGTGAGGCCTTGGAGTGGACTTTGCCTGATCCTGATGGTGCCAGGGAAGGACCATCGACTGCCATTGCGGAGGGTTTTGGCAGTCATAGATGTCATCCAGATGATGAGGACAGATCAACACATCAGGGGCGTACCTCTCGATGGGATTAGAGGTCTTGGGGAAACCAAGGCGGATACCGAGAGTGTGCACAACCTCCTCCAGGTTGTTCAGCAAGGCATGAAGACGTGGGCGATCGACACAGATCTCTTTTCCGAAAGGGCCCAACGTGCGCAGATCAAGCGTACAACGAGCAGGCCAACCACCAACGCCAGGAGGTTCAGATAGGGCCCGAGGAATGTAATGCGCTGCGGGAAACGTTTTACCATCCAGATCTTGAGCGTAATCATCTGTAAAAAATCCCATGACTATACAGCACTACATAGTCCAATATAGCATACATAGTTCCATAGCAATGTCAATTTGTGTAGGTGCTATGGAGCTGCCTGCAGTTGCTATAGAGGTACCTGCCAGTGCTATAAAGTGCTATGGGTGCTATAGATCACACTGCAATGGCTATATAGCACAGTGCCAATGCTATGGGCACTACAGATACTATGGCAATTTGGTAGTCATCATATGCTCAGTAGATGCTATGATTAATCAGACAAGAAACTAAAATACTCAGAAACTAAAATACTTCAATAATGTTTGATTTTGAAAACAAATATTTGGATTGCATAATTTTCTACAAAATTACACCAGTGCTACCAGCCAGCTTACGTAAGCATCTCACACAAACATAACCCTACATAGGTAGAGTCAGAGGTGAGGATGGAGGTGGAGGCGGAGGCGAGTTGATCAACGAGCCCCGCGCAGCTCGTCGAGGGGGGTGGGAGGTGAGGCCAAGCCTGACCACGTTGGCAGCTTGGGCTCGGGGCTGGTCAAAGGCCGGCACGGGGTGGGGGGGCCAACACCAAGCCCAACCGCGCTGGTCGGAGGCGGGTGCGGGGGACGGGATGCGACACCAAGCCCGATTGCGTTGGCAGCTCGGGCTCAGGGCTGGTCAAAGGCAGGCGCAGGATGGGGTGGGAGCCGTGCCAGGCTCGTCGACAAGGGAGGCGGCGGGGTCGTGGCTTGTTGAGGGTGGGGAGGGCGGGGGCAGGGGCGTGGACTGACTTGTGTTGACGGGCTGTGGCCACGTCAAACATGGGTCATGTGACCATTGGTTGGTGGCAACGTGTGCCGCGGTAACATTGGTCACATGACCACCGGTCCAAACCCAAATGGATCCTAGTATACTGTGTTATAGTTAATGTTCATATATAAGCTTATATGATACTATACACTGATACTTCACTGTACAGGCTGAATATTACCCCAGAACTAATGAAGATCATAACATAGTGTGAGTTGGAAAGTCTGCTGTAGTTTCTATATAAGTATGTACCAAAACTATGTGTGCTATATAGACATATATCCAAAGCTATGGGTGCTATATGGACGTCACTATGAGCTATGCATTGCTATATAGCTGGTGTATTAAGCTATAAATTGCTATGCAGCACCCCATAGTGACCGTCATAGTCTCCATAGCACCCTATAGCGACTGTTATGGTCTACATAGCGCTCTATAGCAGCTAGCTGATCACTCTATAGTGCACATAGAGCTACTATAGCAACAATAGTTCAAAGGGGCAGCTATATAAATTTGGGTTTTTTCAGATCAAGTTCGTCTTAGCTTTGCCATCGCAGCTAGCTGATCACTCCATAGTGCACATGAGCTACTATAGCAACAATAGTTCAAAGGGGCAGCTATATAGATTTGGGTTTTTTCAGATGATTGTGTCTGGTCAGCTGTGAGCCTAATTCCTGTCCTCGCTTGTACCGCTCGGCGTGCTTCGGCGGTTTCTTCTGGTGGGCATCTCCCAAGGGTCTGGAGGTTTTTGTGATAGTCCCTGGCTGTTTTTGCCATCTTCATTGAGTTGGTGATGAACTCTGGTTCTCTTAGGTGTCTGAACTTGGGGTTTCGGAGCTTCGTGAGTGTATCTCTCAGGTGTCTGTCTTTGTTCACCGCGGACCAGTATTTGGATACTACTTTTCCTTTTATCTGGTTGTGTGCTGCTGAGTTCATGCGGGTCTTCGTGTGTTTTTCCTGCCTCTTGTCTGCTATTTTTTTTTTAATATGGTGCACATAGTGGCGCGTTCTCCTTCATCTGTTTCTGTGTCGTTTAACATTTTCTCGAGCTCCTCCTCGAGGGATACTATATCTTGGTCTATTCTTGGGATCATTTTGCATTGTAAGTCCCGCGTACTTCTTTCTAGATCCTTTTTGAATTCTGCCAGTAGTGTTTGGGGGTTCCACATCAGGGATCTGCATTTAGCGCGCATGCACTGTTAATGTCTTTTTGGAGTTCCTTTGCTCGTTCTCTCAGTGTCTTGATTAATGTGTCATTCTTTAGCATGTGGGTGGGCATCGCCCATCTGCCTTTCCCAATGTAGGGTTTACTCATGTCGGTCAGTTTCACCAAGACCATTTTGTGGTCAGTTTCTATGGCACTGGGCTGTTCTATTTGCCATCCGTCGCATCCCCAGAGGGTGTCCTCCATTGCGTAGATTCAGTCGATTTGTGAGTGTGAGCTTACCACATTCTGAGTGTAGCTGTATGCGAGTTTGCCCTCGTGGTCTATCCTCCAGCCGTCGTGCATATTCATTTTTGCTTTTAGGGTGCGAAAGGATTCCGTGGCTTTGCCCTGGTCCTTGTACATCAGCAGCCTGTCTAGTTTGTCCTCCACTATATTGAAGTCTGCCATCATGAAGTTGGGTTTTGGGAGCTTCTCCCATCTCCACTTTCGTTAGATGTTACGCCAGAAGTCGGAGTTCTGCTGCTCGTCGTTTGGTGCATACACTCCTAGGATTCTGAGTTCTCTGTCCTGGTGCCATGGTATCTTTAGCAGCAGTACTCTTCCTGGCAGTATGTCTGTTACTTCTGCACCTTCTGCATTCGTTAGTTCTCGGTCCAGCACAAATGCTAGGCCTCTTGCGGCGGTCGGTGCGTCTTCGTCTTCGGAATTCATGATTTGCAGTCTTTTGCTGAAAACTGACTCTATCTGTCCTTCCAGTTCGTGTGTTAGGTGTGTCTCCTGTAGGAGGAGTATTCCGATTCAGCTGTCCCATACAAGTTGGTTTATTTGGAACCATTTGTTGTAGGGTCAGTCCGTGCTTAGGTTGGTCGTGTCACCTCTGCCTCTCATGTTCAGGCTCGCTATTTGACTGTCGCTATAGTGTTTTTGCAACACTTAGGTTGTCCTGGGATCTTGCCCGGTTTGGGCATTTCTTCCGGTTCCCACATTGCGTCTTCGTCAATTTCGAAGGTGCAGTCGTCCCAGGGGTGGTCGTCCCCATCTTTGTCAAGGGCTCCATCTTCATCTTGCGGCGGGGAGCGATCACAACTGGTCATCTCCGATCTCACTTCATCTCCATCCATCTTGCTTGTCGGGCTTTCGTTCGCCCTCCCTCGTTGGCCTAGAGGGCTTCCAGTTGCCCTCGGTTCTCACATATCTGTCTGTGGTGTCCGAACCTTGTAAGCTCCACCACAGGGCGGGGGTTTTGTTTTGTTTATACTGTGCACCTCCTGCCTGTGCACAGCAGACCGTGCTCTTGTCCCAAGGCCGTCTCCCAGTCCTGGGCAACAGTCTGCGCTAACTCTGGATGTATTAGGTGTGCTATTCATGGGTTGTGTGGTTTTGAGGTGTGGTTGTGTTCTCATCTTTTGGTTCGCTGGCTTAGGCCACGGTAGCCTTCGAACTTCCCATCCTTACTTGGTGGTTCAGATTGCCCGTTATGGCTCATGGCATGTATTAATGCTCTCCCCTGCCTTATCGGGCGTGCCACATGGTTAAGCGTGGGGTGTGCTCCCGTTCGGTCAGTCTTGGTATTTTGCACATCTCGGGGACGTTGCTCACGGGAGAGGGCCTCTTGGTCTCTCCCCGTCTCTTATTCTCATGCAGCGGTGTGATCGTCTCTCTCCTTCACTTTTTATTGCATCAGGGGTGTCATGTGGGGCTCTGGGTGCCGCTAACTGTGTCTACACTATATAGGCTCCGCCCACTCCGCGTTGAGGCCCACCGGGACATCTTGATTGAAGAGGCCTTTGGCCCGTGCTACAAGCCAGCGCCACCATGGTATGCCTAGGTTTCTTTCCTCCGATCTTGGGATGGTGAGTAGTGTGGTCGCATAGATTGACTGTTTGCCCTCAGCAATTGTGGGGGGATTTGAGTGGGTGCAGATGTTGGTGATGCTCCAGGTACCCATCCCGGTCACGCAGAAGGTAATGTAGTCATTTATTTGGTCGATTTCCAGGGTTCCCCATGCCACCGCCCCCAGGTTGTTGTAGAGCTGTACTTTGGCCCCGTTCCAGGTAGGGGGTGCGGGTTGTCGGGTGTCAATTGGTAAGCTTGCCAGTGACCATCGCATCTGCCCGCCATAATTCTTGTCCCTCTAATTAGGGTGTATTCGGCTTTGAAGGGGGTTGCCATGCTTTGGGGGTTTCTGGGGGGGCTGGGAGGTGAGGTTGACATGTCTAAGTCGCTCATTTGGTTCAGCGTACCGGTTTAAAGAGAGTGTGGGGTTGTTTTGGGAGGGTCGACATTCCCCGCCTATATTTTATAGTGTCCCTCCCTGCTTTGATTCACATGGCCACTAACCGAGGGTCGAGGCAGGATGTGGTTTGATTGCAGATATCAAATTGTGGCCCTTTGTATTTAAGGGGATTCAGTCCTAAGTGACATAACACTTATCGCTGTTTACTTATGTTTCATAGTTTGTTTCGCCTGGGGTCATAGCTGACGCGTGGGTGGCTGTGTTTGCCTTTTCCGGGTGTGCGTGTCATGTGTCTGTTTTGCTCCGCATCCATTTGGCGTCTCGCCTGTGCGACTGGGTTATCGATTCGGGGTGTTCATAGGTAATATCTTTTTATCGCGGTCTACAGTGGTCGTTTACGGTAGTTATGTACATTCTGGGGGCGGGTGGGCCCCGGCGACGCGCCACGGGTATACTCTAGTTACCTCCTCTGCTTCTTCCACCTCTATTCCTTCCTCCTCTGTTGTTGCCACGGTTCTTATTGCCGCTGCCGCCGTTGCAGGGTTGGGAGGCATTGGAGGGTTTGATGGCGATGACTATTCCCTGTCTGGGCTGGGCTTTTGGGGCTGTTTTATCAGTGTCCATCCAGTTTGCGAGTGTTTGGAACTCGCAGGTGGACCTCTGGTGGTCAATTCCTGAGCAGTAAGTGCATCACATCATGCCGGCGTCGGTTCTGGTGCCCCATTTTGTTGTAGTCAATGCCTCGCAGCAGGGAGACCCAGTTCGTGTGGAGGTCATTGTGCATGGGGCAGTTGACGTAGAGGTTCCAACGTCTTTCGTAGCCGTCAGCGTCGTTGTCTCCTTGGGGTATGCGCAGAGGCCAGATGTGGACGGAGTCCAGGGTCGTCTTTGCAAGGACGTCAATACCCTCCTGGTCGTGGATGTCGTTCTCTGCTGCGCCGACCGTAATCATGTTCACGACACCAGGGTCGGTCTTCAGGACGTCGATGATGACGTTGCGGAGGACATGCCAGAAGTTGTCTTGGCATGTTAGAGCCTGGATTGATACCGCGAAAGTGGGGGTTGGTACTGGATTCGGGAGGACGAAGAATGTCCCGACTTTTGATGACCATATGGATTGGGAGCGGAGTGTGTGTGCCACATTGCGGTTGAGGCCGGTGACCATATAGAAGGGCTCGACGTGGGTGTTGTTCAACGCTGGTTGGTTGACAAGGATATCCCGCAGCGTCTCTTCATCTGGAGGGCCGAACCGCTCCTGGGCTGAGGGGCACAGGTATTTGAGCATGGCGAGGAGGTACTCAGCGCAGACATCCGGGTTGGCGAACTTGGCTGGGCGAGGGGGGTATATGATCACAGATGTTTCCATGTCTTGTTCGCCCCACGCGTCTCACTGTGCCGGCTTTGTGTTCAGGAAGATATCCTGCCACTTGCAGGTTTGGACTATAAGGAATTGGCCGTTTGCGGGCTTGGCGTAGATCCCTTCAATTTTGAGTAGGGTTGGGGGAGGTGGTTCCATGGCACCTTGGTCACCCCCTAGACATGGGTATATTATGTGTAACTCTATCAGCAACGTGTTTGACATTATATAGCCTGTTGTGCTTGGTCGAGCCAATATGTCGCTGCGCACTTGGGAGCACCGCAATCCCAGCAGCATGTGAGAGGCCGGTGCTACCATATTGCACCTCCCATCGCAATAAAATACGGCTGGATTGGCGTTTTGTGCTACTTCGTCCTCGTAAAGTGGCCGCCCACCCTCATGTATGCAGTACCCATGATGCAGAGCCTACATACGGATTCTGGGATGCACCGGCAGCGGTCCCGTCGTTAGTTGCGGCCCCAGGCGCCCTACCTGGCCTCCGCCGTATTACCCTCTTTGCTCGGTTGCCCTCACATTTGAGCGGTATCCCCCGCCTCCAGTACCATCGAAACGTCTCATCGTTGATACCGGCCCTAGGAGAGGAACGTCAGAATCACGCATTGTACGCAATCGTAGGATCTGGATG